AATCTTTCTCCTAACACCTTCTCCAAACTCATTATTTTTCTGAGAAGTACACTGTGGACCAAACCTAAATTAATCTGGAAGCTTCACTACTGACCGAGTTTTATTCAAGGATTTTAACATTTGCAATTCATGGAGTATTACCAGGTAACACCGAGTGTTCCAAAGAAAAAAAATTGAGGTTTCTTACAGCAAAAAGTACATTCTAGGGAAGAATCTGTCAACACAAGAAACATTCAGACCTGGGAAGAATTTTGTGAGTTTATTTGAGCCAAAACTATCAACAATTTCCTGAAAGTAAAACCTCAATGGACTGAGATAATGCTCCAGAGAAGGGCAGTTTTGCACCTTATTTTACACATTACGGTCAAAGAGGAGATTGGGTTACATGAGATACACTGGTGACAGATCAGGGAGGTGAGAGAAAGCACAGTGGCAGTGGGGGTGGGGGGCCCTCTGGGATTGGATGAGAAGCAGGTGGGGACAGGACAGTGACCAGTGAATGATTTACATGAAGGTAATAACAGTGAGGGGATTTGTGCGCTGAGCCCTGGTGTTCTGGTTGTGTCCTGAGGGTCTGGAAAAAGGAGAGTTACCCTGACCTTCCAAAGGTCTGTTATAGATGCAAACAGTAAGGCTTAATGAAGGTGAAAACTGACCTTTGTCAGGGAAGAAACTGGCCTAGGACATGACTCCCCACCACAAACTACTTTTAGTTAAAGTTTTAATTTCAGACTGTCCTTTGTGGTTACATTGGGTCTTTTGGGTTTATAAGGCCGCCACGCAGGCCTCCCTGAGCTTGTCCAGTTTAATATATGTCCCCTTTTCGTCCACACAGCTTAGCTTCGGGATTGGTGCAAGATGGTGATCTTGCAGATGTCCAGTGGTCTGACGTGTGAACGTTCTTTTGTTGGTTGTTCAGAGGGTTATCTGTAGGATTGGTACATCTCCAGGCCTCAGGGCACAACTGGGAAGTTCAAAAGGTTAAGTCCTCAGGCTCAAGTACAAAATCTGTTCCTGACACTAGTGCCTGAGCTGCCACTGAGGACCCAGCAGCCTCCCCCCTGAGCCCCTCACCTCCCGACGCCCCCCATCCCCGTTTCCCCCACCGCTGGAGACCTCTGCCCGCCAGAACCTCTGCTTGTGCAGGTGTGGGACCAATTAGCCTTCTCCCTGCCGGAGACCTCTGCCCGCCAGAATCTCCGTGCCTGGATTTCTGCTGGTGCGGGTGTGGGGCCAAGTAGCCTTCTCCCCACCGGAGACCTCTGTGCCAGAACCTCTGTGCCAGAACCTCTGTGCCTGGACCTCTGCTGGTGCGGGTGTGGGGCCAAGTAGCCTTCTCCCTGCCGGAGACCTCTGTGCCAGAACCTCTGTGCCAGAACCTCTGCCTGGACCTCTGCTGGTGCGGGTGTGGGGCCAAGTAGCCTTCTCCCCGCCGGAGACCTCTGTGCCAGAACCTCTGTGCCTGGACCTCTGTGCCTGGACCTCTGCTGGTGCGGGTGTGGGGCCAAGTAGCCTTCTCCCCGCCGGAGACCTCTGTGCCAGAACCTCTGTGCCAGAACCTCTGTGCCTGGACCTCTGCTGGTTCGGGTGTGGGGCCGAGCAGCCTTCTCCCTCCCTCCAGGTTCTCCGTGGGGTCTAATCAGATAGGTGGCAGGGGAGAGCTTGTGGTTCGAGGTGTGGGCAGGCAAATGGCCAATTCAGAAGTGACTAAGGAACATCAGGCTTATGTAAAGAAAAGGGGTGGGGTTGGGGATCTCCAAAGGGAAGGGCTGCACAGCTGTGGGGTACTGGGGTCCATGACGGCAGCCCCTAGGAGCTGGGGTCTTGTCCTTATGTGGGTCCATGGCAGGAAGCTTTGTCCTCAGTGGGTTTTGGGGTCTTGGTTGGTAGGTTTGGGTGGGGGTTGGGCCTACAGGAATTTGGATGTGTGATCGGGGCTTCTTCGGTTCCTGTGTCCGGTGGCATTTCCTGTTGGCCATTTCTCCTGAGGTGGGAAGTTTGGTCCTTGTTCTCCTGGGGCGGGGAGGCCTGCAAAATGGCCCTTAGGAATTACAGTGCCTTCTAAGTCCTAACAATAGATTTGAGACAGATAAGAGAAAATACCCCACTTTAATACATATGTATGGCCCTGGCCGGTTTGGCTCAGCGGTTAGAGCGTCGGCCTGTGGTCCGGAGAGACCCGGGTTCGGTTCCCGCTAAGGGCACGTACCTTGGTTGCAGTTTGTCCCCGGCCCTGGTTGGGTCGTGTGGGTGGCAACCACTCGATGTGTCGCTTTCACGTCGATGTTTCTCTCTCTCTCTCTCCCACTCACTCTATCTGAACAAAATATCGAAAAATGTCCTCGGGTGAGGACAAAAAAAAAAAAAAAAAAAATACATATGTATGTATGGGAACATACACGAGAGTCAGAGACCCCACATGCACGAGAAGTTCAGAGATAGAAGGGGACTGAGCCCTGGCCAGTGTGCTCAGCGGTTAGAGCGTCGGCCTGCAGACCAAAGAGTCGTGGGTTTGATTCCTGTAAAGGGCACATATCTCGGTTTCGGTTCGGTCCCCAGCCCTGGTCGGGGTCGTGTGGGAGGCAGTCAGTCGGTGTGTCTCTCTCATGTCGATGTTTCTCTCTCTTTCTCGCTCTCAAAAAATAAAAGTAAAAAATAAATTAAAAACACTTGTTTTCAGAAACAAACAACATTTATTCGTCATGTTTCAGCCCGTTCTGGTTGAAGTGATTCTGGTGGCTTGGCTGTGGCGGCTGCGTCCCTCTGCTGAGTGCCCGGGGCACGCGGTGGGTGAATGTAGGCTCACAGTTCTTCGTCCGAGCGATACGACTGAATAGTAATACAAGAAACTGTGTCACGTACTCACGACTGCAAAGGCCCTTTTTCCCCACCCTGTATATAAAAACAACTGTATCTGCATAGACAGAGACACGGCTATACAAGGAGGTATAAATATATATATATATTATATGCGGTTTTTCTTGTCACACAGTAGGCACTATGGATATTTGATGGCTGCATCAATGACCGGGTTCTTATAGCAGCACATACTTTTAAAATAGTGCTTATATTTATTATTATTATTATATATTTTTTGGTAAATAAGTGTCACTGAAGCAGGGACCCGGGGGTCGTTTTTACCATCCTTCTCGCCCCAAACGCAGTGCCTGCTTGTTGAACCAGCCCAGAATGTTTGGTGGCTGATCGGGCCGCACTCAGGGTCGCGGGCTGGCTCCAGCGCCTGAGCCCCCCTGCGCGTGCGTGCGGAGGCTGTGCTGGGCCAAGGGAGTCTTGCTCCTGAAGACCAGTCTATTCTTTGTTACCTGCTGTGTATTTGGGAACCATACGAATTTGCCAGATTTGACTGGTTTTGCTCTACACAATGACCTCTGCATTTGGTGCGACCTAATATTATGTGTGAAGACACACATACACAGGCAGATACATTGTATTTTTTTTTAATCTTCACCCGAGGACTTTTTTTTCCATTTTTGTTCAGATAGAGTGGGAGGGAGAGAGAGAGAAGGGAAAGGGACACATTGAGTGGCTGCCTCCCGGATAACCCCAACCAGGGCCGGGTGGAAACGCAAGCAAGGTGTGTGCCCTTGATCGGACTTGAACCCGTGACCCATTGGTCCACAGGCTGACGCTCTAACCGTTGAGCCAAACTGGCCAGGGACAGGCAGATACATTTTAAAATAGGGCTGTTCTGTTGAGACTGTTCCACAGAAACTCTTGTTCCGTTCGTTGGGACATCTGAGGATGCACACAGATCTCTCCTTCTTTTTCATCGTTACAGATATTCCATTTTATGGATATAATCTTTTTAACTCAATCCTCAGTTGGCTTTGTCCGGTCAGTTGTTTGTGATGGTTATTTAGTTGGAATGTGTGCCATATGGAACTGTAATCTTTTGTGTAATTGTCAAATATGTATTCTTTCTCCTTTGTTACAGGAGCTCTTTCCCTATGAACAGTTCATCTTATTTGCCCGCTGGTGGCCTGAGGCGAGAACTGGCCTGCCTGGCTGTCCCTTACTTCCCAGCCCGTGTCTCCTCCCCCATCACACTTCTGTTCCTCTGCCCGCTGTGAGCATGGGCTGGAGCACGCGGCTGGTGCTCTGTTGTCAGGAGGAGCAGTTGTGGTAGTGGCTCCATTAGTGGTAAAACAGTTTCCTTCTAGCCCTGGCCAGTTTGGCTCAGCGGTTAGAGTGTCCACCTGCGGTCCAGAGAGACCCGGGTTCGGTTCCCGCTAAGGGCATGTACCTCGGTTGCAGTTTGTCCTCGGCCCTGGTTGGGGTCATGTGGGTAGTGGCCACTCGATGTCTCTCTCTCTCTCTTCCTCACCCGAGGACATTTTTCCATTTTTTTTTTTTTGTTCAGGTAGAGTGGGAGGGAGAGAGAGGAACAGAGAGAGAGAGAAACATCGATGTGAAAGGAACACATCAAGTGGTTGCCACCCACACAACCGACCAGGGCCAGGGACAAACTGCAATCGAGGTACACGCCCTTAGCGGGAACCGAACCCTGGTCTCTTCAGACTGCAGGCCAACGCTCTAACCGCTGAGCCAAACCGGCCAGGGCTCTCTTCCTTTCTCTCCCACAAAAAATGTCCTTGGGTGCGGATTAAAAAAAAAGAAGAAGAAAACTTCTAGGTATGCTTTGTTAGCTAAGTTTATTTTTGCGGGAAACTTACTAGTGTAAGTATTTACTTACAAAATATTCATAACCAGCCTGCCTCCTGGCCTGCTCAGTGCGGAGGGGACCCTGAGCGGGCGGGAGAGCACCTGAGGCTGCAGGGTGCGCCCAGGGCACTCAGCACGTCCCTGCTGGGGGGAGTGAGTCCCTCAGGGCCCAGCCAGCGGGGTGGTGAGGGGAGCCCACGGAGGAGCGGAGTGCTTTGGACAGTGCCGGCACAGTGTCCTCGATTCCTTCCTGAGGGTTCCAGAGGGGTGTCCGTAAGGGACCAGCGCCCACTCTGTGTCTCTGTGTCCTCTTCCAGGCTGCCTGGGACATCTGTGAGCCGGATCCAGTGGGGCCCCAGCTGCTGTGCCATGGATCCCAAGGTCAGATGCTGCGGAGCAGGGATGTGGGAGCAAGGCTGGGGGATGCCAGCTTGTTCTTTGTGTGGAGTCAGTGTGGCCCAGCGCCCGGGGGGCAGCTCTACTGAAGGGGCCTGATGATCAGGGTGCAGGGAACAAGAGGGAAAGCCTCCCTCCCCTCTGCCCTCCAACAAGGGGTCTTTCTTTCTCTTCAGTTTCTTTTTAATGTTTTTATTGATTGATTGATTGGAGAGAAGGGAAGGGAAGGGAAGGGAAGGGAAGGGAAGGGAAGGGAAGGGAAGGGAAGGGAAGGGAAGGGAAGGGAGAGAGTGAAAGAAACATTGATTTGTTCCACTTATTGATGCCTTCATTGGTTGCTTCCTGTAAGTGCCTGATGGGATTGAACCCTCAACCTTGGCGTATCAAGGCAACGCTCTAACCAGCGGAGCTACCCGGCCAGGTCCAAGGCGGACCTGATCTGAAACCATTTAAAAGCTAGAGTTAGGGCGAGGCCACCCACCGGGCATAGAGGCCCTGTGCCTGCCTTCGGCAGGATGGCACCTGGGCTGGGCTGTCTGCACTTACTGTGAATGAGCTTGGAAGAGATCATCACGACAGTTCCTCAGAAGCCTTTTATTCATCTTACTGCAGGTCTTCCTGTTTCCTTCCTCTGCCCAGTCCTCTACAGTCTGCAGGGCCACCAGCAGCAGGGCTCTGTGTGCACAGCACACCCCTCAGCCTCTGTGCCCACGGGCCTGAGGAGGGCTTGTGGAAGGGGAGGGCGTGTGGTCCATGGGCTCGGCGGCCCAGGGTTCTGAACCCCAGAGCAGAGCAGGCTGCAGTGGGTCCTGGGAGCAACCTCGAGCGTCGCGACTGCGGGGCAGCTGGGGGCAGAGACGCGAGCTCAGCGCAGACGCCAGCTGCTGGAGCAGCAGATGCTGGGAGCTCCCCTGTTGATGAAGGCCGCTCACCCTTCCGCTGGGCCCATGCCCCGCCCCTCAGCCGCAGCAGAGCCTCAGGGCCTGGGCTTCTCCGGCCTGTGCCGCAGTGCTCTCTTCCTCCTCCACGCTGCGCCGCACCACGGTCCATCCACTCCTCCCGAACCCTGTCCCCGCTGGTCTCACGCGTCCTGTGCACACCGGCCTGCCTCTCTGTGGACTGACTCCGGTCCCAGGGCAGGCGTCCCGTGGTGCCTGTCCCTCAGTGTCGGATCACTGCACTGGCCATAGTGTCTTGCATTTGGACTTTTTTTTTTTTACCATGTGTATGGTACTGTTCATCCATACTTTAGCATTCTTCTTTGACTTTTGATATTTAGAAAAACAGAAAATAAGTGAGATTGATTTTGGGGGTTCTGTGTTTATTTGCAGCTGTCTTTGCCAGCTTGAGAACCAGGGCTATGCCAGTTATCGGACACTGGGGAGCCCCCGTTTCTCTGCAGCTCACCTGGTCTTACAGCCGCCTTAGGTGGGCTTTGTAATGTTTCCAGCAAGACTTGCTAAATCTCGACCATTTATTTTAACATCTTTTTTTCTATGACCTAAAAGGATAAATAGCTATCAAATCTTTTATCTTTTGAGACACCCATTTTAACTTTCATTACCTGGAGGGTCAAACACGGCCACGCGGTCAGCAGCTCAGCTGTCCTTGGAGGGAGGTGCTGTCGGCCTCTGAGCCCCCCGCCGCTCGGGGGCGTGCAGCCTGATCATCGACGGAGCGGTCCTGCTGCTGCCCGACCAGCGGGCGCTCAGCCGGTGGCTGGACGAGCGTCCTCTCCCTCCCTGCCAGGCCTCGGCCGGTAGTTCCCGTGGGAACGACAGCTGACTCTGGCAGAGTCGAGTCCGTGAGCAGCCGCTCTGCACCCGACACTGGGCACCTGATTATCAGCCTCTCGATCAAGGGGAGTCCGCAGGTGAAGGCGGCCGGTGCTGGGCCCTGGCCCTGGCCCTGGCCCTGACCGACTGAAACACACCCACCGCCGAGTGTCTCAGCCCAGGAGGCCGCGGTCGGTTCCCGGCGGGCGCAGGGACAGGCGGCCCTGCTGGCCCTGCTGGCCGCCGCACCGCTCGCTGGCCGTGGCTTGGCCGCGGCACTCCAGTTCCATCTGTCTGCAAGCGCCCTGGTCCCCTGGCCCCCGCAGACCGCGCCTCCCCAGGGCCTGCCTGGTCCAGGGCGACTGGATCTTAACTTGTTTCCAAATAAGGTCACATTCATAGGGACTGGGGTTAGCACTTCAATGTTTCTTTTTGGGGAACACAGTTCACCCCTCATCACTGCCCAGCCCTCTCCTCCCTGTAGCGGACACGTCTCCGTGGGTGAGAGTGAGGCCTGTCCTTGACTAAGTGCCCCAGACCCCTGGCCTCACTGTGACATGGAGCAGTGTGAAGCTTTTATATAACATTTTCCCCTTTTTAGCAGTAATTTTGGAGAAATGAAGGCTGAATAACAATACATAAGCATTTTATTTATTTAAAACAATTTACCTCCTAGAAACTCCTAAAAGTTTTCTGATTTTTCTAACAAAAAGTCTTAAGAACTTAGGAGACAGAAATGCATTTACCTGCACCTTCGTCCTCTGACCGCACCGCGCCCACAGGTCCGCTTGCATTTCCCTGGTCGAGCCTTAGTCCCTGGCCTTCCAGATGGTTCCCTCTTTCATCTGGGTCTTTGCTTGTTCTGAGTCCACCTGGCTGCTGATGCTACAAGTGCTCACCTGTGTTTGCCAAGAGCACTGTCCCAAATGGAGTCAGCACCCCAGAAACATCCGTCCTGCCCCGCGGCAGAGGCCGGGCCGAGCTGGTGCTCAGTGCTGCCCACGGGAGGGCGGCAGCAGGCCTCGGTCACCAGCCCCTCCGTGTGGGAGCAGGTACCGTGCCCATGGCTCTCTGTGGGTTTTGGTTGAGAGGCATGCCCACCCAAGTCTGCCCAAGGGGAGAGGGTGTCTGGTCACTGCTGCCCAGTATGTACTGATCATCTATTTGCACGACACCATACTGGGCTCACCAAGGAGACTGGATGCGTGGCCAGTAAAGGTGGGCTCAGGTTGGTACCAGACGCGCGGGACTTGGTAAAAGCAGTGATGTCCGCTAAGTGACGGTGTTTGCTCGACTCCCTAAAACAGCCTTGGGGCTTCCTACCCTAAAAACAAGCTCATTCCTGTTAGACGTCAGAACGTCCGTGGAATGGCAGACAGCGACTTGTGCAGGCCGCAGGGCCACCTGTGCCCGCGGGTCAGTCAGAGCCCCTCTGCCAGCTCGGCCTCCCTGACCCCTCTTCTCTTAGGTCAGCAACGGCTCAGGCCTGCAGGACGAGTACATCGCCAACTTGCTGGTGTTCGGCTTCCTCCAAAACTGCTCCAGCTGCGGTTTCCGCAGAGACCTGCAGGCGCTGGGCTGTGACCTGCGCGCGCGGCGGGGACACGAGGACGAGCTGCAGACGGACGAGCTGCAGACGGACGGCAGCCGGCACAGCCGCTTGCTCCCCGAGGGCTCGGAGACAGGTGCGCGGGCTCCGCCGCGGCCCGCGGCCCGGGAGCTGGGGCCTTGGGGTCGGCCCCCGCCGCGGAGCGTCCAGTCGGCGGAAACCCGCTCAGTGTCTTCGTATCTTTATAGCACTTTTACTTCCATACATGCTACGGGCGTTGCCGCGGTCTGAGTCCATTCCAGAGGGGGAACGCGCCGTCCCCATGACCGCTGCTGCCCTGAGCCACGGTCTCCAGACGTCCTCCCTCCGGGCCCGCGGCTGGGAGTGCGCGGCACGTCCGCACTCGGGGCCGTGTCCAGAAGCGCTGTCCCTGCCCGCCTCCAGCCGTCCCGGGTGGGAGGCTGGGGCCTGAGGGCCTGAGGGCCGAGCCCCACGCCCCTGCCTGGGAGAGGACTGAAACCGGCTGCCCTGCATCTCCTGGCCTCGGATGGGCCCCGCCCTCGGCGGCGCGGCGGGAGCCTCTATCTGGGCGGCGCGGCGGGAGTCCGCCAGCCGGGGGTGCCGGGCACTCGGCCCTGGGAGGGGCGGAGCGGGAGGGGCAGGGACGGCTTTGCCCCAGAAGGTCCTGCGGCACTAACTGCCCGCGGCTTGCCCGGCGGCCCTGCTGGCGAGCCTCCCGCGCCCGGAGAGCAAGGCCGGCGCCACGGGAGAGGGTTGGGGAGACGGGCCGGCCGAGCCCGCGAGCTCGCCCCTGGGGGAGCCAGCCTGCAGATCCCAGCTGACAGGACGGGGCGGGAGGGGAAACAGAGGCTCTGGCCACTGCCAGTTCCCTGGCGACTTCTCTCGGCTGCACTCGGGTGAGTCGGCCGTGACCCCCACAGTGCTGGCCGCGGTGGGAAAGCCGAGGGCACCCGCGAGGCGGTCGGTGCTGTGGGAGCTGGGGAGCAGGCGGGGGCCTCTAGTCTCTGGGGGGGATCCCCAGCGGCCACAGAGCCCCACTGGGCCTTGCAGCTCCTGGTTTTGCCAGGGGCTGGCAGAGGGGGCGCGGGGCCCGGGGAGGGGCTGGCAGGGGGGGCGCGGGGCCCGGGGAGGGGCTGGCAGAGGAGGCGTGGGGCCTGGGGAGGGGCTGGGAGAATGGCCGAAGGGAGGGCCGGTCAGTGGTTCAAGGCCAGGTGCTGACCTGTCGTTTCAGCAGAGGCGAGTGTGTGGAAGGGTCTTTTTAAAACAAAAAATTTTTTTTAATCCTCACCCAAGGATATGTTTACATTTATCTTCAGATAGAGCAGGAGGGAGAGAGGGTGAGAGAAACGCGGCAGTGAGAGAGACACCTCGACTGGCTGCTTCCCACACGACCCAGCCAGGGCCTGGACGAACCAACACGGAAGTACCAGCCCTTGAGTGGAATTGAACCTGTGACTCTCTGGTCTGTGGGCCGACACTAACCACTGAGCCAAACCAGCCGGGGCGTGGAAAGTTCGGAGTAGGAAAGGGATGCCATGTGGACCCTGCGTGTGTCATGGCCCCTGGTGAGGCAGACACCTAGGGCACACCGCGCAGGGCTCACCACGGGGCACACCACGGGGTACACCACGGGGCACACTGTGTGGGGCACACCGTGCAGGGCTCACCACGGGGCACACCACGGAGCACACCATGGGGCACACCACGGGGCACACCGCGCAGGGCTCACCACGGGGCACACCACGGAGCACACCATGGGGCACACCACGGGGCACACCGTGCAGGGCTCACCACGGGGCACACCACGGAGCACACCATGGGGCACACCACGGGGCACACCGTGCAGGGCTCACCACGGGGCACACCACGGAGCACACCATGGGGCACACCACGGGGTACACCATGGGGCACACCACGGGGCACACTGTGTGGGGCACACCGTGCAGGGCTCACCATGGGGCACACCACGGGGTACACCACGGGGCACAACGTGCGGGGCACACTGTGTGGGGCACACCACGGGGCACACGCTCATGTTGGCCCCTGGTCCCCATTGCAGGTGCCTGCTGGCCAGCATGTTGTGGGGAGTGGGCTGAGGGGACTGTCCTGGCCCAGCTGTGAGGTGAGGGAGCGCCCACCAGGGGTGTCTGCTGAGGTGCAGGGACAGCACAGACGGGTGTGCGGCTCTGTCCTGGGCAGTGAGTCCCAAGCACAGGAGTGCAGCCTCGGCCCTCAGCCGTCTCCCATCGGGAACAGTTCAGCTCTCCACCAAGTTGTTCACAGAAAAAATGTCCTGGTTGTTGGACAAAATGGTTTTTTTTTTGGTGGTGGTTTTTATGTTTTTATTGATTTTATAAAAAGGGGAAGGGAGAGAGGCATAGAAACATCGGTGTGAGAGAACATCGATCGGCTGCCTCTGGCACGTCCCTACTGGGAATCTTCCCGCAACCCAGGCACATGCTCTGACCGGGAATCCGGGAATCGAACTGGGGCCTCTCAGTCCCTGGGGCAAAGCTAAATCCACTGAGCCACACCGGCCGGGCTAAAACTTCAGTTCTTTACCCGACAGCCCTTTCATGCTGACACCTGCATGATCAGTCACGTCTCTCAGGCGACAGGAGAGCATGCGCAAGTCCGTGTCAGTTTACTGCTAAACCTTGAGTTGTTAACATCTCAGGAAAGTGTGCTGTGGATATTTTTGAGTTCTTTTTTGCTTTTGTTACTGTTTTATTATTATTATTATTGTTGTTGTTATTATTATTATTACTAAATGCACAGAGTAAGTCACCACGGGTCCTAAGGTGTGTGATAACAACAAAGTGAAAAGGAAAGTTATGAGAATGACAGAGCTTAAAAAAGAAATAATTGCAAAGTATGACAGGTGTTGTGTGTCTGACCTGGCCACCGGGTGTGGCATGGTGAAATCGAGGATTAGCATGATTTTAAAACAACGAGGCATCAAGAGTGCTGATGTTGCCAAGGCCCAGAAGGTGCTCACGGAACCATGATCACGGGCAGCTGAGTGGGGTTAAAACGGGATCATTTGGGGTCTGGAACAGATTCATTCAACTTACATTATTTCTAATGGGAAAAATGATTTGGTTTTCGAACAAATCACTCCTTGAACAGCCTTCTAGACCAAATTAAGTTCAAGAAGCTGGTCCCACTGTGGCGCTCCGGCCAGAGGAGCGCATTTACTGAGCCCCCAGGAGCTGGCTGGGTGCGTTCGCTCCTCCGCTTGTTGAGGGTGTTTACTCAGCATCTTCTGTGGGCCTCGTCCCAGTGTACTGGGCAGTAAGCAAAGCACAGGAGAAACCAGAGGCCTTACGAGGCATGCGTGCTGCGGGACAGACACAGTGACAGCAGGGAGTGTGGGCACCGCGGAGGGCAGGGGAGTGGCCAGGGGAGCGGCTGGGCTGGCCCAGAGGGACGGCGGTGGGAGGAGCCCTGCTAGACTGCGGGCAGACTGCCCAGCGCCTTCTAGGCCGAGTGAGGGGAGGCCGTGCTGCCTGAGACCGGGAGCTCGCAGGCTGCCGGGGAAGAAGGAGAGGGGGTGGCCAGGTCTGCGCCCCACTGGGTCTGACTGCAGAGCCTCTGTCCTGACGACTTCTTAGGTGACACCTGTTAGAGGGTGGCCTGAGGGCTGCTGCTGCGTTTAGGCCTCAAGTGCCCACACGCACAGGTGCCCCAGCAGCACTGGGCCTTTCTGAGGGCAGATGTCGAACCTGTGTCCAGGGAGAGGCCTGCTCACACGGGCCCTTTCCCAGGCCAGTACTCCGTCCCCGGGACCCCCATCCGCCACGGTGTGCTGAGGACGTGGGAGACGGTCCTCATCTGAGGCTGAGTCCCTTCCTTTCTCTGGGGGGGCGCAGTGGGCTTAGCGTGCAGAGCCGGCTGTTGCCTGATCCTGCTTTGTCTCTGCTGCCCCTGCCTGGCTTAGATTCTGAGAGTCAAGAGGAAGCCATCCGGAGCATCGCCAGGCAGCTGGCCCTGATCGGGGACAGGATGGACCACAGCATCCCCCCGACCCTGGTGCAGCAGCTGGTGGTGCAGTTTATGAACAGGAACCTGTCCGAGGAGGTGAGTGAGAAGCCTCTAGTGCCTTTTCTGGGTGAACAGAGACATGTGAGAGCTTTTTCCGGTGGTTGAATTAATGAGGCCTATCCTATCTCCTACCCGACCAGTGTTCAGGGAGGTGACTCAGTTCACAAAAGAACTGGAAGTAGAAATTACAGCATGGTTAATCATCTTTCAGAAGAATGTAGTTGACATTTAGGAATAAGTCAAAAGTTTGAGGAATAAAAGCCTCTAAGGAGATGAACAGCACGTACACGACTCCCAGAAGCAACTTTCTTCAGTGTCAGGGAGCTGAGGAAACTGCCCGTAGGAAACCGAAGCCCCTCCCCAGGGGAGACGAGAGGAGGGACACGTCAGCCCCGCCTGGCACCCGGTGCCAGCCCACAGCTCGGAGCAGACCTGTCACTTGCCCAGTGCTCTGGGGCACACAGGTCGGGCACCGCGTCCTTCCTGAGAAAACCTGGGGAGAGAAGTACCCCAAGGTCGTCAGAGATGTACCTACAGATGTTCACAGAGAGAAAGGTTCCATTCTTTTTTTTTACCCTCACCCGAGGACATTTTTCCATTGTTTGTTCAGATAGAGTGGGAGGGGAAGAGAGGAAGAGAGAGAGAGAAACATCGACGTGAAAGGGACACATCGAGTGGCCGTCTCCCACACGACCCAACCAGGGCTGGGGACAAAGTGCAATCGAGGTACGTGCCCTTAGCGGGAACCGAACCCTGGACTCTCTGGACCGCAGGCCGACACTCTAACCGCTGAGCCAAACCGGCCAGGGCGAAAGGTTCCGTTCTTTTGACTACCCGCTGAAAGTCAAGTGCCCCTTACTACCTAGTCATGTATTAACCCCCCAGGGCCCAGCCAGGTCACCTCTCCTGCCTCCAAGGAGGCTTGTCCTTCTGTAGTGGTCTCTTCCCTTCGGCGGGGGCCACCGGGCAGCTGGCACAGGGTCTGTGAGCGTGCAGTGCGGCAGCCTGCCCATCCGCGAGCCGCCTGCGCCTGCAGGTGCTCCCAGGCCTCCTGCCTCCTGCACTGGGTCCGCACCAGGAACTGGCCTGCAGCACCTCGGGAGTGACCCGGGCCTGTGTGCAGGGCCTCAGAGGGGGTGCCGGCCCCTCAGCCCCTGGGTGTGGAGAGCGCACCGTGACCCTGTGTGGTTAGCGAGGGTCCCTGCCCAGGGAGTGGTCAGCCTTCCCTCCCACCGCCTCTCAGAACTGAGCTGCTTCTCATCCTCTCCCCATGCGCTGTCGCTGGGGAACCTGCACCTCCTGGGACGGGGGGGCGCTTCGAAGGGGAGGACGGCAGGACCCTGGTTCCAGTGAGCCTTCTGTTTTCCGCCCCACAGGACCGGAGGGAGCACCTTGCCGCTGCCCTGCAGCAGGTCATGCAGACCTATCCTAGGGACGTGGAGGAGGAGAAGATCATGCTGACCTTGACCATGCTGTTGGCCAAAAAAGTGGCCGATCACACACCGTCCTTGCTCCGTGATGTCTTTCGCACAACAGTGAATTTCATCAACCAGAACCTACTCACCTGTGTGAGGAACTTGGTCAGAAATGTAAGCACCCGTGCTCAGCTCCTTGGCTCCCCTCAGTCCCCTTGGTGGCCTCTGCTGCCGCCACCCCCTTTCCCCTGCGGCCCTGCCACCGCGGAGCCCTCTGCCCCTTGTCCTGCCTGAAGCCACGGCGCACGGGCGGGGCAGAGGCTCGGTCTTGCTTTCATGAGCACGAAGGTTACGTGGTAGGAGGTGGTCATGATTGCCTGGTGTCCTTTTGAGCTTTATCAGCTTTATTTTTAAGATGCGCTACTGCCAGCGGGGGAAGGCTTATTTCATACTGTCCGTGGGCGTGCGGTGGTGGCTGAGGGATCTACGCTGAGCGTCCCAGGTCTGCTCTCAACTTTACCTTGTCACAAAAATGCTATGCTCGCCGGCTGGTGTGGCTCAGTGGATTGAGCGTCGTCCCACGGACTGAGAGGTCCCAGTTTGATTCCCCGTGAGGGCACTTGTCTGGGTTGTGGGCTCCATCCCCAGTTGGGGGGCGGACATGCAGGAGGCAGCCGATGGATGTTTCTCTCTCACATTGATGTTTCTATGTCGCTCTCCCTCTCTAAAAAGTCAATAAAAACATACCAGCCCTGGCCGGTTTGCTCAGTGGTTAGAGCGTTTGCCTGCAGACCAATGAGTCGCAGGTTTGATTCCCGGTCAAGAGCATGTACCTTGGTTGTGGCTCCTCCTGGCCCTGGTCGGGGTCATGCAGGAGGCAACCAGTCGATGTGTCTCTCTCACATAGATGTTTCTCTCGCCACCCCCTCTCCCCATCTGAAGATAAATGGAATAATGTCCTCGGGTGAGGATAAAAAAAATTTTTTTTTTAAAGTATAATTAAATTTTTTAAAACCATGCTTACAACACAAAACAAACAAACAAAACATGCTTACTAAGAAAGATGAAGGGGCCCTGGCTGGTTTGGCTCAGCGGTTAGAGCATCAGCCTGTGGTCCAGAGAGACCCGGGTTCGGTTCCCACTAAGGGCACGTACCTCGGTTGCAGTTTCTCTCCAGCCCTAGTTGGGTCGTGCGGGTGGCAGCCACTCGATGTGTCCCTTTCACATCACGTGTTTCTCTCCCTCTCTCTCTCCCTCTCCCTCCCTCCCACTCTATCTGAACAAAAAATGGAAGAATGTCCTCAGGTGAGGATTTACAAAAAAGAAGAAAGATGAAGGGGAGAGAGATCAAAAAGGAGGAGCCCTGGCCAGTTTGCTCAGCAGTTAGAGCATCGGCCCACACAGACTGAAGGGTTGCAGGTTTGATCCCTGGCTCTGGTCGGGTCGTGTGGGAGGCAACCAGTTGCTGTCTCTCTCTCTCGCATCGATGTGTCTCTCTCTCTCCTCTCTTCCCCCTCCCCCCACTCCTTCCCTCCCTTCCACTCTAAAAATCAATAGAAAAATATCCTCAGGTGAAGATTAACAAAAAATTAAAAATAAGGGGGGGGGGGAGAACTATCTAAAACCTGCCCCAGGAAACTCGTGTCCCATATCCAGGATATTAAGTCACCCTTCTTCATTACCCTGCCGCCCAAGAAGGCCAGACAGCCCTTCGAGTCTGCTGCTCCGGGTTCATAGTGTCAATATTTGGATTTTATGTGTCCGAAGCATTATTCAGGCATCCAACCCTCTTCAAATTAATGATAAACCTTAAAAGCTTTCTCTCTCTGTGGTGGACTGTAGTCATACGGGCACTTTAAAACAGGAGCGAGGCTCGGCCGGTGTGGCTCAGTGGCTGAGCGTGGACCCTGCACCAAGAGGTCGCCCTTCGATTCCCGGTCAGGGCACATGCCCAGGTTGTGGGCCCATCCCCAGTGGTGGGGCGTGCAGGAGGCGGCCAATCGATGTTCTCTCTCATTGATGTTTCTCTCTCTCAAATCAATAAAGAAAAAAATAAAAATAAAAAAACAGCAGGAAGGTGAAAATACATTTCTGACCAGGCGTTTAACCAGGCTGAGCTGTTGGGAGCAGGCCAGGTGAGGAAGCGCCGGCACAGCGGGCCTCCGACGGCGGGGATGGCGACAGCACCACACCGGCAGGCACTGGGGCCCATAGCCTGGCGCCTTGGCCCACTGGGATGCCTGCTGGCAGAAGTGGCCCTGCAGAGGGGAACACCCACTCTCGGCTCCCTGAACGCCTCTGTGTGCAGTTGCTCTCATGAAGCAGGAAGTGGGGTGCATGGGTATGAGGATGACAGGGCCCCGGAAAATTTTTTTGGTGTTTTTTTTAAATCCTCACCCGGATATTTTTCTGTTTATTTTCTGAGAGAGTATGAGGAAGAGAGAGAGAAACATCGACATGAGAGAGACATATCGACTGGTTGCCTCCCACACGACCCCGACCAGGGCCAAGGACCGAACCACAACCCAGGTATGTGCCCTTAACTGGCACTGAACCTGCGACACTGGTCTGCGGGCCGACGATCTAACCGCTGAGCGAACTGGCCAGGGCAAGAATATGTTTTTGCCTAAACCCCAGCTTCGCCTATACTGGCTATGGCCCTGAGTTCTTAAGGACTGACTTCTGATTTGTAAATTAGAACTGCTGATCTAGACCTTAGAAAGTGATTATCAACAAAGCAGTAACACCTATTCAATTAGAGGTGTAGGACTATAAGCTCTCGGGAGTTAACCGAAATCCAGATGACAGTAGTAACAACTGGATTTTATGTGCTGAATAAATATAGGCCAGGGGTTTGTTGGGTTGGGTGAGGGCTTATAGCTTCTCACTGACCCTGCACCAATCGCAACGTGCAGGTTTGAGTTGTAGCAGAGACTGCTGGATGCCCCATGTCTGTCCCCCATCTTCTCATGGCTGCAGGATTTCTAACTGGTCCATGGCCCCTGGAGACTTCCATAGCCCAGGTCCCCTTACAAGCCGTGACCTGTGACTTCTGGTAAAAGGGACACAGGCAGCCGTGATGCATAGATCTCTGCACTGTGTCCCTGAAGGGAAGGAGCCCGACCTCTCCTCCCCCTCCTGGTCCTAGGCTGCAGGCACAGGGTGTGGGCACGGGTGAGGGCAACACCTCGTGACCAGGACCAGCAGACGGACTCCTGGCCCCAGGGCGGTGCTGACACTGATGTATAACTAGAGAAATAATATCTAATTAAGTACCTAGTTTAAGTCCTATTTAGATGACCTGCCATGGAAGCTGAATGTACATTCTAATAAATGCAATATGTTTGGTAAAAATGAAGGATGTAGAACTTCCAATCATTTACAAAGATTGGTAAATTATGGCCACAGGCCAAATCTGGCCTGCTCCTTGTTTTTTTTTTTATCCTCACCCGAGGACATTTTTCATTCAGATAGAGTGGGGGTGGGGAGAGAGAGAAACATCGACGTGAAGGGACACATCGAGTGGCTGCCACCCGCACGACCCAACCAGGGCCGGGGACAAACTGCAACCGAGGTACGTGCCCTTAGCGGGAACCGAACCCAGGTTTCTCTGGACCGCAGGCCAAACCGGCCAGGGCCTGCTCCTTGTTTTTATAAACCAAGTTCTGCTGGAAGAGCCACGCTCATTCATTGCGCATTGTCTGGCTGCTGCCAGCGGAAGCCCACGTGCAGACCACGGCCTACACGGCCTGAAGCAGACCTGGGCTTCACAGGAAAACTGTCGCTGCTGTTAGAAGGAAAGAAAAAGAAAAACTGACCCTTCAGATGTTAGGAAAGAGGCAGAAACAGTACACAGGAAGTCATACAAAAGAATTTAAAATAAAAAGTCAGAAATAGGACACTGTTGGTGGTCAAAAACAATGAACTAATTCTGGTTCCCCTGTCTTGCTCCAGGAGGTGGACTGAGTGGATGGACGCCGCCGGTGAACACTGGCTCCGCCGGCCGGCTGCCCGGCGCCCACGGGCCGCCACCGCGGCTTCCGGAGAGGCGCCAGACCGCAGGTCTTCGCGTCTCGCTGTTTAAGGGCCGTGCTGTGCGCTGGTGACCCACTTATCAGCCTCTACATTAAGATACTTGAATGAGGTGGCGGCTTGCACCTGTCGGAACAAGCTTGGTCCTTCTGAATCGACATTGTGCCTTTTTCTTATTTCAGCTGTTGTAGGTCCCCACTTGAAAATTAAAGCTAAAAGCAGATTATAGGACGGAAGGAGAAACACACCATGGTTTTTGTTGAAGTAAAAACGCGCCTGTTTATTGAGGTGCAGCCTGGGAGCCGGCTCCGGGCGAGTGGGCGGGCGCGGGACGGGGACAGAGCGCCCCCAGCAGGGCGCCTCCTGCTCCCGGGTCCCGGAGTCAGCCGTGTGCTCTTGTCCCGCTTGATCCCCCTCCATCGGCGGCGGCGAGGAAAGCCACCGGCCAGGACCAGTGGGGGGACGCCGGCTGCGGCGGTGGCCGAGCGCCTGCGCCCTCCGCGGCCGGCCGCCCGCACCTTGTGTTCTCATCTCCAGCCACAGCCTCAGTGCCCGCCAGGGAGCTTGTGTCAGGAAAGAACAGGTTTTTCTAGCATAAAAAATTAAAAACACTTAAAAACTCAACAGTTGAATACAAGTGATCACAAAATCAAATGTCTCCGTGCCCAAATAAGCCAGGGAGCGAGCGCAACACTTAGAAATGGTGCCAGCACGGCGGTCCCCAAGCGCCCGGCTCCCTCCCGCGCGGTGACTGGGTCCCAGTCAGGCCTGCGCTCCGCTCAGGCTCGCCCTGTGCTCACCGAGAACATCACACTGGAGGGGCAAGTGCGCCGGCCATGACGTGCTAATAAAGACTTCCTTGATACCGAACACGGTTCTGTTCCCTGAGAGTTTAAGTCCATCAGGCAAGAAACATGACATCATTCAGCATTCACTGGGGCTGGGCTCATCTGAGAGCCGCGATATATTGCAGGTGTTAAAGCGAATAGATGTCGCCGTGCAGTATGAAGGCCATCATTTGGGGAAAATTCTAGTAATGCTATTATTATGGATGTTTTGGAATAGGCTTTTCCCCCAAAGGATTCGCATCCCAGGGGAAACAAGTTGAATCGCGCACACATACCTGCACTCCTATCCATACGTGTGTCAAGCAGTACAATCAGACTCCCACGAGGGGAAATACTTTCTTCCAGAAAGAGCAATTTTAATACAAGTAGTCAACTAGACTGATGGAAGAGAGGAGAGCTCTCAAGGAGCAAAGAATTCAGACTATCTAATGCTTTTCTTCTTGCACAGCATCTTTACTTTCTACTTTTTCTTAAATTTATGTGTCACTATTTTAATGCACGTTGTACACGTTTTGGTGTACTTTTCCCAAGTCAGTCATCCTTCCCGCCTACACAGCAGGACTGTCCCCTCATGTCCCAGCCACCACTGGGAGATCCCACGGGGTCACGTGCTCTGACCTCGAGCCACCCAGCCACGACGCAGGGTGCCCTGGAAGTCGTGGATTTTACACTGGTAACAGTCCTCGTGGCTAGAACTGAAAAGTGACCAGGACCCAGCACTGACCACGGCCGCCCGGCGCCTCGAGGCCCAGCAGCAGTGCCTTCCCCACAGCTTCCTGAGCAGTTCCAGAGCCTGAAGTCAAACCAAGTATGTACTTAGGGAGACTACAAGACTGATGATCTAAACGGTTCCTCCTAACATTAATTAGAAAGATGAGTCCGTCAGTTTTCCTCAAATTTCATTTTACTACAACCTCCAAAGTGTTCTCCCCAACACAGCACTTCTAACAGAAAGCAAATGTCAGATTTGGATTTTGTCCCTTTGCCCTGATTGGCCAAATGCAGGTAACGGAGGGAGGAGCCAGAAGGCACCATTATCATAAACTGAGCAAAGCAGCTCTGGGAGAGCTGATGAAACCCACACGGAAACCCATGCTCTCCGGTGCGATGCCACGTTAGTCAGCTAACATTCCTATTTAAATCCAGTGATTGTGAGATGAGAGCATCAGAACCAGTAATAAATTTAACTCAGTTAAGGAATGAAGTAGGTGGAAAGAGGTACTTTTAATCTAAAGAAAGAAATGGAAGACTGTAAGAAAATTATTTTCCTTAAGAACCAATCTATATAATACAATTCTCCTTTTATTTTTTTATTTTTATTTGAGAGAGAGGAAGGGAGAGGGAGAGACAAACATCTATGATAGAGACACATTGATTGGCTGCCTCCTTGATCCCCCTTTACTGGGGATCAAGCCTGCACACTGGGCACGTGCCCTGACCAGGAATCAAACTGGGACCCCCGGTGCCTGGGACACCAACCCCTGAGCCAACTGGCTGGGCTCTAACACAGTTTCCTTGCTGGAATCATCAGGAACAACACATTATTCCAGACTCTGAGAAGACTGTACTTCAGCTTCCTTTTTTCCTGGGAAAGGAGGCAACAGACTAATCTTAAAATATAAAAACTTGTTCTAAATAGTATATTAGTAAACCAATTTACTCTAGTGGTGCAAAGAACACACTGAAGTGGGCAATATCACTATAAAATTTTCCCTCAGGAGGCATGAGAATAGGACAAGAACCACCCTGAGCCAGCAGCGACTTTTTAACTTATTAAAGGCTTTGTAAATATACCTGAGAACGGTTCCAACCTGAGCATAAGCTGCCTGGCTGGGGCTCTTGTGGTGTAAACAGGGTTCACAGGTGTAGGATCCTAGTGACAGGCTAGGAAGAGGGTAGTTTTGTGTAAAGAAAAAGACAGAATGTATTAAAGTAATAACATGACAGTTTCCAACTCTCCATGGAGCGCTATATTGCGGTAACTAAACAATAGTGACTGAATTTCAAATCGGTATTCTATAGACAAGGCTACTATTAGTTTGACATTCTCCTGTGCACTGTGGAATGAATGAAAGGTTTTCACTGGGAGCCACCTACTGTCAGCTTCTGAGCAAGATGTGCCTCTGGCCATGCCTGGTCAACCCTCTTTAAAAAAATTTTTTTTCTTTATTGATTTTAGAGAGAAGGGAAAAGAGGGCGAGCGATAGAAACATCGATGAGAAAGAACATCAATTGGCCGCCTCCTGCATGCCCCCCACTAGAGATCGGGCCCACAACCTGGGCATATGTCCTGACTGGGAATTGAACCGGCAACCTCTTGGTACATGGGTTGACACTCAACCACTGAGCCACACCAGCTGGGCTAGTCAACCCTCTCGACTGAACGTTGAGAAGCCAAGCAACGCCTAGAGGTTGCCCCCACTTCTCTCCACATCCCATGGCATAGGCAGGGGAGAGAAGGAACAAAAGGGACAAACTGGGGAAAAGGGAAGAGGAAAGGGATTGTGGTACTGCCTTCAGATCAGTCAGAGAGTCTTGTGTCAGACCACCTTACCCTTGTTTATAAGAAATGTTCATCTAACATACTAACTAAGAAAGCTAATGAAAGAGTAATACCAGTGATAACTGCTAATTCTTTGTAAGGCATCTCATTCAATATTTAAAGGGAAAACAACTGGTATAATTAGAAATTGGGAATAGGCTGGACATAACCTTCTCTCACTTGGGAGAGCATGCTCGATACTTAGACTAGCCTGTGTGGCACCTTTGTACAAATTAGTAGAGGCTCCCTTCTCCCAGGGCACATGACAGTGAGCACAGGCTGCCCCTGTGTGGTGGACAGTCGGCGCAGCCATGTACAAAAAGCCTGTCAATACTGTTTTGCAGGGTCACAAAAAATGGTAAAAACTAGGAAAAGCAGTAGACTTAGAGTCAGAAAAGTTCAAATCACTGCCTCTCAGATACTGGAACACTTTAGAAAAGTTAGTAAATGCTCAACCAATATTTGCTAAAATTATAATTACCCACTCCCCCCCCCAAAACAAGGGTATTCTAATATGGAAAAATATGCACCCTGAATTCAAAACCATGTCACCACTGAACCTCCTCAGTGATAATAGGTTATCACTAATGGTACATCTTGGTGCTCCACGGAAGAGGAAGCTTGCGGGCATCGAATGTGTGCTGAGACTACGTGAACAGTTTGAGGGAGGGAGCTGGCGCAGAGGCTAGAAGCCACTTCTACAAAGCAAGAGATAGTGACTGTTGATCAGGAAGACCAGATCTCCTGATGAAACAGTCCCTATCACAAATTTTTTTAAAGATAAGTTTGTGTAAAAAGACAAATTAGGAGAAAAGGAAAAAATTTCTTATCACATACCTTTTATTTCTATAAAACATCTCAAAATAATTTTAAAATTCTATGGGTATGACATTTGTCCATGTCATACCTTTAGAAAAAAAGCAAGGAGCAGGCATCACTCTTAACTCAGAGGAACTGGCACAAAGGCTGAGGACGCTAATGGCAGCTATGGTTCAATAACAATGTCTGTGTTCACTGTCTGTCGCCCCCAGTACAAACCTAGGCAGTGGCCGCATCTGATCCAAAGATGGGACACAGGAGAGAGAAGGCATCAAGGACGACTGGGTGTGCAGGCGTGAACTAGATGGTCAGCAGTTGTTTTCTGCAAAAAAGCTTTCTTTCTAGAGGCAATGGTACTCGTGAGTCCCCTAAGGCACAGTGTAGAAGCGGATTTCTCTGGGCTCAAAATGATCCTTTTGTCACAGAGGGGATAAATTAACATCCTTTAGTTCTGGTATTTTTTTCAACACTCACTCACTGGCTTTATGCCAAGTGCTCAGAAATCATTACATTCAGTAGAGCAGTTAAGAGTTCTAGAGCCCTTCACTGCAAAAACTTTTCCTCAACACTTAAAAGAATTAAATGACAAAAAGGGTGATCGTCTTAATTCTGCACTTGAGTTGTGTCAACAAGCTGGGTTTATTCTGAATGGTCCCCTTAGCTTAGATTTCCATGGTACGTAAGTCAGACGGGCAGGAGTGGCCTCCTGATACCAGCCCCCACCAGGAAAAGGGAGGGTGAGAAGTGATCTTTTAAAAGTAATAGTAAAAATCAAAGCTGCTATAAGAAGTAGTTCTTATTCGAGTGTTCCCTTCTAGTGTGAGGCAGAGGGGAGCAAGCGAGGAAAGCAGGGACAGACACCCTGCTACTGCTCGAGGACCGTGCGCGGTTCCCTCTGGAGAGAGCCAGTGGAGGAGAGCTGTGTTCCAGCCCCGCACAGCAGCATGGACTGGCCAAGTGACTCTGGGTTAATGTTCAACAGACGGGAAAATAAAGCAGCACTTGGTGCGTTGTACCATACTCCTATTCTTTCCTTTAATGGAGAACACGGACCCAAATATCCTAAGCCCTCTCTCTCTAGCAGCCCAGAAATGAACCTGGTTTATATTAGTGCTTAAATGTGTTCAGCCAGTGGGTTTGAGGACATGGAGTTTGAAAGTGTGAACGTTGGAAGGAAATATTTTATTATAAAAGGGAAAAACTCAAGATAACACACCAGCTGCTCTTACCCTATGCAAACAGAGCAACCCAATGCACAGAGCCAAGAAGGACCTCACCACTGCCCTCGCCCTCGCTCTGTCAATCAAGGCACCAAACTCTGAGAAGAGCCACTCCCTACATGGGACACGGAAACTCAGAACACTTAAAGACACGCCCATGGCAAAGCTGAACTGGCACACACACACTCCAGAACTTTCCTTGACCAACTTTTAAATAGTACTGCTTTAGGGAGAAGATTTATTTTTAAAAATAAAATTTAAAAAGAAAGCACATTTGAAACATCAAGTTTTGGTGCTCAGGATAGGTGAAGTAATTTTATTACAAATTTCAGGATCTAAAAAGTGATTTGTCCCATTTACTAAGAGCTCCAAGACGACCTGAACCGAGCATGCCCTGCACACCGACACTGTGACCCTCAGGCACACAATGACACAGTCCTCCCACCCTTTCGGAGGAGGGAATAGTCAGATGAAAGGAAATTATGCTGATTCTGAACTAGTACACACTAGTTAGGATCATCCTGGTTTACCACTGGCATTTGGACTATGAAGAGTTTTGCAGAGAAGCCTCCACTCTTGAACTCTGAGAGCCAGTCTAGAATCTTGAGGGTAACCAAAAAAGTCAAACTTCTCTTTTCATACTTTTTATTTTAATGATATTTAGGAGACTTTCTGTATTTCATAAGAGTTATGATTCAATGGGTCTGTAAGCCCACGTATGACAATCCAGTGAAGGACTGCAAAGGAGCCAGCCAGCCAGCCAGCCAGAAGACTGAGGTCAGATAGTCCAGGGAAGACACCAGCCCAGTTTATAGACAGTGACTGTCCAGCGACAGAGATGCTGCTGGCAAGTAGCCAGAAGTTCAGCAGGGTGGCCGTCCACAGAGGAGCCAGAAGTGTCCTAGAGGCCACCAAGGCCATCCTGCTTCTAAAGGAGACAAATCTCTCTACCCCGCTACTTGCCACAGCACTGCAGGCAGGCGGCCCTCTCAGGGTGACGGAGGGCAGTCCCACTGCAAGGAGAAGCTGGAAGAAGGACCAGAGACTTGCCAGGTGCAGAGCAAGCACTCTCCGTGGGTCTCAGAAGAAACCTGGGGGGAGAGGAGCAGGGTGGTACCTGAGAGGCAGCTGAGCCACCGGGGAGAACACCCTCACGCTATAGGGCTAGAAAGTGGGGAAGAAAAGAAAAGCCAAAAAAGGACTGCAAAACACAGCATGTTCACAAGATGAAACCCCAAGGGCAGGGCCCAGTCAGTAGCTGAGGAGCACGGGTGAGCCCCTTGCCTAGGAATCCCTCTCCCAGAAGCTCCTGAATTCACTGTCCTCTGAAGTTGTGGCTGGTACGGGGGACAATCTTACCCCCAGGGACATTTGGCCAAGTCAGGAGATGTTTTTGGTTGTCACAAGTAGGGGAGGGGTGTTACTGGTATTTAGTGGGTACAGGACAGGGATGTTGCTAAACACCCTACAATGCACAGGACAACTTCCTACAACAAAGGATTATCAAGATATGAATGCAGAGGTTGAGAAACCTGACTAGAGGGAGTACTTTACTTGTAAGGACAGAATCTAGCACAAGCTAAGGCCCTTGAACTTATCATCAGACAAACGTGAACACCCTCTACCTCAAGCCCTCATGTGTGGGTCAATCCACGGCCTTATTGAGCAGAAATCCCCAGTTACCCAAGAGTGTTCCACAAACGTCCAATCAGCTGCTGGCGCTTCAAATTCAGTCGATACAACTAAAACCTAATATCCTTTTTGTCTTGTTTCTCTTCCAAAAACCCTGCTATTTCTTTCTCAGAGCCAGTGCTACCCCAACAGCCACGGCCAGGATGGCGACCGCGGCGGCCCCTCCGAGCAGCAGCACAGACTTGCCCTCGGGCAGCGGCCCGGACCTCCCTGCCCCGAGCCCCTCCTTCCTGGCCTCCACCTGTGCACCCAGCAGCGGGCCTCGGGGCTGCTCCCTGCGTTCCCCAGGCCCCACTGCCACTTTCACCTCTTCCTCCTCCGGTCCTGCGAACAAAGATGCAGCCGGGCTGACTCTCTCAGCCGCACCCCCTTCTGTGTCAGGTCCCCTCATCTCCAGCGAGGAAGTGGCAGTGACGTGAGGGGGCAAGGGAGCTGGGGCTTCAGGGAAGGCAGCCTCGCCCACACCCTCGGGGATTTCTTCCTTCTCCACATGCACAATGTCAGAATTGGAGGAGTTGTTCTCGCTCTTCTCTCCAGCCTCATTGCTATCTAAGCTTTTAACTTCTTCGGGGTCCACTGCGATCTGCTGCCAGGACTCGGGGCCGAGGGACACTGGCAGGCTTTCCGCGTGCCAGCTCTGGCTGGCCGACAGGGACACAGGCAGGCTCTCTGACTGCCAGGACGTGGTCACAGTCGGAGACTCTGGAGGACTGGCTTGCCCAGAGTTGTCGCTGGGCAGGATGTAAATGTCATTGCTGTCTTCTGCAGCAGTCCCAGGGGACTCTTCCTCCTCGGACTCAAGATTAAACACAGTGCCCTAGAAAAGGAGGAGGAGAGTCCATACAAAGAATGGTAAATATATTTTAAATAAATGTAAATCTGGATCAAAAATTCTTTCCTAAACGGAAGTTCCAGAAATAAATGCACTGTTTAAACCTACGTACTTTCTGGAATAAATGCAGTTACTTGTAGATCAGTGCAGAGAAAGAATATTTATTTAATCCTCACCCGAGGATATTTTTACATTAATCTTTAGATAGAGCTGGAGGGAGAGAGAGAAAGAGAGAAACATCGATGTGAGAGGGACACATGGATTGGTTGCCACCCGCACAATCCCAACCGGGGCTGGGGATGAACTGCAACCAAGATAAGTGCCCTTGGCCAGAATCAAACCCGGGACTCTGGTCCATGGGCGACGCTCTTACTGCTGAGCCAAACCAGCCAGGGCAGAGAAAGAATTTTTAACAAGATGGTCTTCTGACCAGTTTCCTTGAGGCTAAAAACATTAAAAAGTTAATTTATATTCAATTCGATGCAGTAATTAAAGCAAAATGGCAGAGAAAACAAAAGCAACAACCTTGCTCTTAAAGAACTTATGACTTAGCAGGGTACAATAGGGTACAAAAATAATGCTAGCCCTGGCCGGTTTGACTCAGCCACTGGAGTGTTGGCCTGTGGACTGAAGTGTCTCAGGTTCGATTCCTGGTCCAGGGCACGTACCTGTCGGGGTTGTACAGGAGGTAGCCAATCAATGTGTCTCTTTCACATCATGTTTCTCTCTCTCCCTCCTTCTCTCCCTTCTACTCTCTCTGAAAAATCAATGGAAAAGTATCCTCAGGTGAGGATTAACAAAACAATAATAATAATAATGCTGTAACATAGTAAAAGTGCTGTTCGGAGTTCAAATGGGGAAATGACGTTTGGTGGAGGCTGGAGAGGCAGGGAGACGACCGGAGGGCTCGCAGAGGAACCAGCTCCACTGGAGACTGGGCAAGAGAAGGGGGAGACTCGGTACCACCCAAAGCCATATGAAAAGGGGGAATGGGGAGTAGCCCACTTAACTAGTGTACATGCACATGAAGAACAGAAAGTTAAGACAGGACCTTGGAGGAACTGGCCAGAGAGCTAAGAAATGTGAACTTTATTCAGTAGCAATGGTTAGTCAGCGAAGTCTCTGAGCTACAAAATGACAACCAGTAGCAGAACGCAGGGACTCTTGCTTCTCTCTTTAGCAGGAGTCTACACAAAAGCAAACATTACTGGTTTCATTTTCACATTTAACAGTTTAGTTTAATAGGTCCTGCTGCCTAGTAGGTGCTGTATTGGGCACCAGTTATAAGAAAGAATGAGACCCAATTCTTGTTCTTAAAAAACTTCAACGTCTAGATGTGAAGATTGGCATATGAATAACGAATTTCAATAATACATTAGTCAACTTTAAAGATAGGTATATGCACAGGGTGCTAGGGGAACCAACCCAGAGGTTAAGAAATGACCAGAAAGACAGAAGAGAACCAATGGAGTGTCATGTCAGAGATCTACAGGAAGTCATACAGAAAGTTTAGGAGACACTCATAAATGCGATGGAGAGTCTGAATAGCAAATTAATTCCTACTTCATTTTGTGATTATGGCTGCTATTTATATGAAGAAGACTAATTTTATTCTTCAAAAACTTTCTGTGTATACTAAAGGTCTAATATAAATTAGTTCCTCTAACCACCCCACAAAAAAAGAGAAATATTACTAAGCAAATCACACAATCATAATGCCAACATACTAACTGCCTCAAATTCTACCTCAACCCCTGCTTCAACCTCAAGAGGTCCTGAAAAAAATAAAAGACTTAGGTAATTAAAAAAAAAAAAAAAGAGAGAGAGAGGCCCTGATAGGTATTAGATAGTCCAGGAATGAATATAAGCAGAGAGGCAAACCAGTACACTAATTAAAAATGCAATGTTTGTAGTAAAAAAGAACTGGTTTGAATCCCAGTTCTATTATGTACCAGCTATGTGGTACATGAATGCCTTGTTTAATTTTTTAAACTTCAATTTCTTCATAAATAAAATGAAAATGATTAACATAATAAAACTGTTACAGGATTAGATATAGTATGTATAGTGCGTAGCATAATGCCTTGTACACAGTAAGCACTCAATAAATTACGCAATTTTTCATTATTGTGTTTGGTGGTATGGTGATGGAACAAAGAGCTACCTTAAAATGTACTATCTAGCCCGGCCGGTGTGGCTCAGTGGTTAAGGATTGACCATGTACCAAGAGGTCTCTGGTTCGATTCCCAGTAAGGGCACAAGCCCAGGTTGTGGGCCAAATCCCCAGTGGGAGACATGCAGGAGGCGGCCAATCAATGTTCTCTCATCTATGTTTCTATCTCTCCCTCTCCTTTCCTTTCTCTCTAAAATCAATAAAGAAAAAAAGTTTTTAAAAAATAAAATCAATAAAGAATAAAAAAATAAAAAATATACCATCTAGTTCTCATCCCAAAAGCAGCCAGATGTGACCTCTGAAAATGATTTGCAATGCATTTGACCCACAAAACTCTACGAAATCATGCAGACTGAGAGGTTCAAATCTTCGTGTCACTTTAAGAACACTCATGAAACTGCCAGGCCATCTAGGGTATGCTTATCCAAAAAGCCACCTGAAGATGCCACTTTACAGAAAGTGTGTGCCACTCTGTCACTACAATGGTGGAGTTGGTAGGTATGCCCAGGCAAAACAGTGGGGCTGGATACAGGGTCAGTGGCTCAAAAAGAGTGCTAAAATTTTACTGCATATGCTTAAAAATTCAGAGCAATGCTGAACTTGAGGGTTAGATGGAGATTCTCTGGTCACTGAGCTCGTCCAGGGGAACAAAGCTCCTAGGTGCAGCACAGAACTCACAGAGCTCACGGCAGATGAACCCACATGAGCTCTCCCTGCCACACAGAGAGGTTCCTACTGAGAAAGAGCAGACTGCTCCTAAACCAGAAGAGGGGTGCACAGAAGGAAAAGATACCCCAAGAGAAACTTAGGAAACAAAAACTGATGGCCTGAGAGTAAATTCAGAATAAAATAAATGCTAATAAAAGTAAGAAATAAAATAAAATAAAATACCATCTAGATAGAAAAATCTCTAAAGTAAAAACAATTTGAAATAATACTTTCTGCCCAGTCAGTGTGGCTCAGTGGTTGAGCATCAACCCATGCACCAAGAGGTCACCAGTTCAATTCCTGGTCAGAGCACATGCTCAGGTTGTGGGCCCGATCCCCAGTGGGGGGCATGCAGGAGGTAGCCAACCAATGTTCTCTCTCATCGATGTTTCTCTCTCTCTCTCTCCCTCTCCATTCCTTTCTCTCTAAAATAAATAAAGGGAAAAAGAAATAATAATATTTTCCTTGGGTAGAGAAGGCAAACATTTCTCTACTCTCTCATCTCTTCTAAATAAAGACATCACAAAACTAGAAAATAAAATCTCTCTAGAAATTATAGTGCTATATAGCAAACCAATATAGAAGTTATTTCTATAGGACAGGAATACAAGGAAAATGTAAAATAATTTTTTACAATAGTCATGACTCAGTAAAACAAAATCTATTTCCATTTAAAGAATGCAAATATAATTGGGGCTCTGCCACCTCCTAGGAACTTGAGATCAGTAGATATTCAACAATCTCAACATGAGCTGTGAAATAATGAGTCGGGTGAAGAGAATCTCCCGAATTTCTTTTGCATGTGTCTCTAAAACAAAGGGCAGGGCATATGAATATACCATTAGAAATTGGGATTCTCTTTTTTATCTTTTATTCCTCTTTTAGTATTGAGATTTACATTTATAAAATTCACGTAACCTAACATTCACCATTTTTAGATGTACAATTAACTGGTTTTTAGTATATTCACAATGTTGTGCAATAACATTTCGCCACTATCTAATTCTTGAACATTTCCATTATTAAAAAACAAAACAGCCCTGGCTGGTTTGGCTCAGCGGTTAGAGCGTCGGCCTGCGGTCCCGAGAGACCCGGGTTCGGTTCCCGCTAAGGGCATGTACCTCGGTTGCAGTTTGTCCCCGGCTCTGGTCAGTCATGCGGGTGGCAGCCACTCGATGTGTCCCTTCACGTCGATGTTTCTCTCTCTCTCTGTTCCTCTCTCCCCCTCCTACTCTACCTGAACAAAAAATGGAAAAATGTCCTTGGGTGAGGATAAAAAAAAACAACAAAAAAAAAAAACAAAAAACCTTAGCAGTCATTCTGGATTCTCCCCTTGGCAACCACGAATGGACTTTCTGTCTCTGAATTTGCCTATTGTGGGAAGTTCATATAAATGGAATCATATCTTATGTGGCCTATTGTGACTGGCTTCTTTTACCTATTTTCAAGGTGCATCCACATTGTAGGATGTAGCAGTACTTCATTTTATGACTTCATAATATCTCATTGCATAGATTTATCACTTTTTGTTTACTAATTCATCAGGTGGTTTGGATTTGGGTGGTTGCCTCCTCCTGGCAATTGTTGAGTAGTGCTGCTATGAAATCCACGTACAAGTTTTTGTTTGATGACCTATTTTCAATTCTTTTGAGTACTTACCTAGAAGTGGAATTGCAGCATCATATGCAAGTTCTATTTTAATTTACTGAGGAACTGCCAAACTATTTTCCAAACCAACTGCAACATTTTATAAGGGTTCCAAATTCTCCAGATCCTCGTCAACACTTACTATCGTCTGTTTGTTTATTTGTTTTAACAGACATCCTGGAGGAGGTGAGGGTATCTCCTGTGGTTTTGCTTTGCAGTTCACTGGTGACTAATGATGTTAAGCATCTTTTCATATGCTCACTGGCCATTTGTATGTCTTTGGAACAACATCTATTCAAATCTTCGGCCTATTTTTAAATTGGGTTGTCTTTTTATTATTGAATTGTTAAAAGTTTTATCTTTTATTCTTAAACAAGACTGCTATACAGTTGGATATTGAAGTAACCAACTGTTCAGGGGAGAGCATACCTGTAATTGGGTTGAGCCTAAAGAATGC